GCTTGAGCCCAGGAGTTGGTGGTTGCTGTGAGCTGTGATGCCACAGCACTCTACCCAGGGGGACAGCTTGAGGCTCTGTCTCAAAAAAATAATAATCAGCTTAATTCAGTGACTGATTACAACATTCCATTCAACAATTAATCTAAATCAATCCACCTAAACTACTCAAGACAGGCATCTTTACAGTGGGAGCCAAATTTACAAAACAGTAAGAACGGGAAATGGGGGCACCAGCCCCATATACCAAGGTTAGCGGGTTCAAATCCAATTGGCCAAACTGCAACAAAAGATGGCCCGGTGTTGTGGGGGGCGCCTGTAATCCCAGCTACTCGGGAGGCTGAGGCAAGAGAATCGCCTAAGCCCAAGAGGCGGAGGTTGCTGTGAGTTGAACACCATGGCACTCTACCGAGGGTGACAAAGTGAGACTCTGCCTCAAAAAAAAAAAAAAAAAAAAGAAAACTCTGGCGTTGTGGCGGGGGCCTGTAGTCCCAGCTACTCGGGAGGCTGAGGCAAGAGAATCACCTCAGGAGCAGGAGGTTACTGTGAGTTGAACGCCACAGCACTCTACCGAGGGCGACAAAGTGAGACTCTGTCTCTTAAAAAAAAAAAAAAAAGAAAAATAACTGGGCGTTGTGGCGGGCGCCTGTAGTTCCAGCTACTCGGGAGGCTGAGGCAAGAGAATCGCCTAACCAGGCGTCCTCAAACTGCGGCCTGCGGGCCATGCAGCCCGCCTAGGACATTTATCCCGCCCGCCTGGGGCCCGTAGTCCGACCCTCCAATGGTCTGAGGGACAGTGACCTGACCCCCTGTTTAAAAAGTTTGAGGACCCCTGGAAGCCCAAGAGTCCGAGGTTGCTATGAGCTGTAACGGCACGGCACTCTACCAAGGGCGACAAATTGTCTCTGAAAAAAACAAACAGCCTGGCGTGGTGGCTGGGGCCTGTAGTCCCAGCTACTCGGAGGCTGAGGCAAGAGAATCACCTCAGGAGCCGGGAGGTTAATGTGAGTTGAACGCCACCGCACTCTACCGGGCGACAAAGTGAGACTCTGCCCCCCCCC